TTTTTAGAAAGAAATTAATACTTTTACTCAGCAAGGACACATTAAATTGATAAAAAGTGACAGTAAAGATATTTATAGTGTTACTAAAGACTTTCTATTCAGCAACGATGAGCAGAAAATCAACGTATTAGAATGATTTCTGAAGGATCATGTGACACTGAAGACTGGAGTAATGATGCTGAAAACTTAGCTTTGATCACAGGAATAAATTACCTTTTAAAATATATTTAAATGAAAAACAGTTATTGTAAAAAATATTTCATAATATTACTGTTTTTACTGTATTTTTGATCAAAAAAATCCGGCCTTGATGAGCATAAGAAGATGAGCATTCTTTAAAAAAACCTTACCTAACTTAATATTTTGAATAGTGTTAATCTTATTATTAATTCATTAAATATTATTATACTGCATATCTTGTATTTTGAGGATTTTACTGTTAAGACAGTGATGTTTAAGACGGACAAAAATCATATTTATTAATTTGCTTACTCTATATACGTATATAGTACTATGTGATTATGAAATAATTTAGTTTTAGTTCATACAAAATGCTGATGGAAAATCATGATGTTTGTTTACTGTTATTTTAATCCTCAGCATCATTCAAATGGATGTGCATGATATTACAGCACATGTATATGTGAAATATCATATATATGACTGACTAAACCACTCCTTTTCAGCACATGCTTTTTAACCCTATTTATTTATAACGTATTGTTACATATTTTCATTTGCTGATCCTTCATAGACCAACTCTAAATCTCTTTATGCCTTTTTGTTTAATGTCCTATTGTGCTACTTTGTGTTGATTAGCAGTTTCTTGCTAGCGCTGTCACTGTCAGTGTTCAGGGTAGAGTTAAGGTACATGCACATAACAACCATAATAATGGGGATTATTTTTTTGTCTACTAGGGCGCATCCTCGTGGAGGATCGGTTCAGACCAGCCCCACCGGGTCCCCCGTGAACAGCAGGAGAGGACGACAGCTCCCACAACTGCCTCCAAAAGGGACGCTGGAAAGAAGTAAGTCTGTTTTTCTGTGCAGCTTCTTTTTTGTTGGCTCTTGCTCATGCTGAGATGTTTATTTGAGAGGTGGGATTGCAGAATGACTGACTCTGCAAATGTAGTGCTTTGCTATAGTTACAGTCAGCAATGCATCATATCCCAGTTACAGTTCATTTCAACTGGGGGCATGAAGAATTTGACTGTTTTTAGAAAGAAAAACGTGCCTAAAAAGCATTGATGTATTTTCTGTTGAAATAAGAATTGGAGAATAAAAATATACTTTTATAATTATAAAATGCAATTTTTAACATTAGGTAACTACTTTAGTTAACATGAATCTTAAATGAAAAATACATATCGGGCACCTTAGTTAATGTTAATTTCAATATTTACTTATATATCATTAAAATCAAAAGGTTCTCTTAATATTATTTAATGGATCTGAGGTACTTTTTTTTTTTATTAAATGAGCTTAATAAATATTTTAACAAATGTATTTCCATTGTCAGTTAATGTTAGTTAAAAAATTAACTAACAGTTACTGGTGGGAGCTTATTATAAAGTGTTACTTATACAGTAAAAGTATGCTAAAATATTTTTTGTCAACAGTTTTACAAATGGTTGCAAATAAATGAATAAATAACACATCCAATAAATGTGCAAGTTTGAAATAGAAAACAAATAGTATTTTCTTGTTTCTTAAAAAAAATAAAATAAAAAAAAGATTACTCCAGTAATCTCGGTTTCATGTACAATTTTGAAAAATCAACAGACATCGACTTAAAGCCAAATAATTAATAAAAAAAATTTTTTTTTTAAATCACATTTTTATTTAATATCTGCACGGAAAATAAAATTGTATGAGTTTCTTTCTCATAAAATAGCCAAATTTCTTGAAATCAGTGTTATCTACATTTGAATTAATGGGTAAATATGGTAACAAATTTTGTTTTCCCCCCACGGGTGGGCGGAGCCTCCTTGATGATTGACTGTTGAACTGGTGTGTCAAGTAGGAGACAACAAAGCTTGTCATTTCACATGTCAAAAGTGTTTCTAGTGTGAATCATTGTCGTTTTTTTTAGGGATTGTTATACATTATCACAACATTGCTCCGTTCCATTACCCCATTGGCTGAATATGACACAGTTTGTGCTGTTGTTATATTTGAGTGCGGGCGACACACATGATCATGTAAATGACATGCGTGGTAGAGTTGCATGTGCGCTCTGATGTTTCCCTCTCTCATTCCTCTCTCAGAAGATGGAGATGAAGAACTTGAGCCTTGTCCAGGTGTGTAACACGTCTGTGAAGGTTTAATCTGTCAGAAGGAGCTTCTGATTGAATTAAACATAACTGCAATGGTCTTGAGCTGGCATTTCCTCTATAGACGGGTCTAAAATTAACATTAGATCCTAAAGCTTTTTGGAAGTCAGATTCACTGAATTCCCTCTCTATTTCGGACACATCAAATGCTCCATCAGAGCTTTCTCTGAGAGGTCATGAAGCCAGGTCCATTGCAAACTCTTTGTGTTTAAATGTGAATGTAGACGGGTAGTTTTAGTTTTTTTCTTTGTCTTCCTGTAGCAGTGATTGTGTAATGTTGTGATAAAGGATTTTCAAAATGTATTTTTGTTTTCCCAGTCACCTTTGTGTTGTTTTAGAAGCAGTCACAGTATTTGTATTGTCCAATCATTGATTGATTTTACAGATGTGCTGTTTTATTTCGCTAATATCATTTTGATTTATTGCTCCAGTTGTGTTTTTGCTAAATATTATTCATATGGAGTTCTCATTTTAGTATCAGTTTTCTCTTGAATTCTTTTGGAGAAATATAACAAGGTGCAGCTAAGACCATCTTTAACATGTAGTAGGTGTATAGAGCTATACAATAAGTGCGGATAGATAATGTAGACAGTCTGAGATGTGTAAACTTGAAAATTTATTTAAATTATTTTCTGTTTATTTTGATAGTTTTGTTAAAACTCTATTTATTTTAGCAAATTGTCTAGTGACTTACAGTACAGCAACTCTGTGTTAAATTCTCATTGAGAGACTGTAACGTTTGTGTTTCTAGCCAAACTCCTGATAGATAGATAGAGACAGTAGATAGATAGATAGGATACCGGTGTCATTGCTAAGGTGTTGCTATGTAGTTGCTAAGGTACCTGGGTTAGTTGCTAGGGTACTTGGGGTGGTTACTAGAGCAGTTGCTAGGGTATCCGGGGCGGTTGATAGGGTGTTGCTATGCGGTTGCTAGGGTACCCAGAGTGGTTGCTAGGGTGTTGCTATGCAGTTGCTAGGGTACACAGGGCAGTTGCTAGGGTGTAGAGTGTAGGGTGCTAAGATAGATAGATAGATAGATAGATAGATAGATAGATAGATAGATAGATAGATAGATAGATAGATAGATAGATAGATAGATAGATAGATAGAAATGCAGCTGCTAGGATACCCATGTCATTGCTAAGGTGTTGCTATGTAGTTGCTAAGGTACCTGGGGGGGGGTGCTAGGGTACTTGGGGTGGTTACTATAGCAGTTGCTAGGGTGTGCGGGGCAGTTGCTAGGGTTTTGCTTTGTGGTTGCTAGGGTACCCAGGGTGGTTGCTAGGGTGTTGCTATGCAGTTGCTAGGGTATACAGGGCAGTTGCTAGGGTGTAGAGTGTAGGGTGCTAGGTTAGATAGATAGATAGATAGATAGATAGATAGATAGATAGATAGATAGATAATAGATAGATAGATAGATAGATAGATAGATAGATAGATAGATAGATAGATAGATAGATAGATAGATAGATTGATTGATTGATTTCAGGAAACATTTCTTATCATTATCAATGTCGAAAACAGTGCAGTTTATTATTTTTGTGGAAACTGTAATACATTTTTTCAGAATTAATTGCTGGCTAGAAAGTTAAAAGAACAACTATTTGAAATAGAAATATTTTGTAACATTATAAAAGTCTTTACTGTCACTTTTTACTAATTTATTGCATCCTTGATGAATAGAAGTATAATGTACATTTCTTTAAATAATTTTTTTTTAAATCTGACATTAATTGATGAATGTATGAACTGACTCCAAATGGTACTGTATATTATAGAGATCTGGTACTCAAAACCCCAAACCGGCCCATGAGACCTGAGTTCTGTTTTGTAATCAGTTCATACATAATTTGTTGTAGACACAAACACAGACACGTTTCTAACCGATCGCACTTCCTCCACTCCCATCTGCCACATCCGTCGTATTTGTCACAAGATCTGGTCTGTTGGGAGTGTGTGTGCGTCTGCCACTTTCCCAGCATCCATCTCTGCTTTCTGTCCAACTGGTATTTACACTACATCAGCTGTTTGAAGTACTCTCATCTCTCATTTTTTCATATGACACTCAAAATGCATTTGTGGGAATTCTTGCAGTGTTTTTACTCCATTGCTCTTTTGTTGTGTTAAAGCTTATGAAATGAGGCCAAACGGCCCAGCGGTCAACGGCAGGAAAGGCAAGTCTCTCCAGGCGTGTGTTTGCGGTGTAGCTTTGCAATATTTTCCTCTTCATCTTCTTCTCTAAGAGGATGTTTCCTCACCTTTAGGGCTTGGTAATATATCAAGTAATCACAATGTGTTTACATTTTAAATTCTGAATGTGAAATCAAACTTGACCATATTTTCTTTCTTAATTTGCAATTCTAGTGCATGCCAAAAACAAAAAAGTGAGTTTAGGGTTAGAGTTGCTAAGTTTGATTCATTTCTGTTATGCGGTTTAGCTAAATATAGCTATTTATTACTACCGTATGTGTTGTTATATTGGTACATAATATGAATTACAAATGTTTAATGATTGTTCCTTGTGTTAATTTATGGAGTTTTTACCTATCACCTAGTCCTTACATCTTTAAAATGTCTTTTCTTTACTCAAAAACTGAAGGACTTCCGTTTGCATGGATGAGTCGGTTTCTAGGTTTTTCTCTGTCTGTTTCTAGGTCAGTCTCTCCCTCTTCACGACTCTCATATATTCTCTCTTGTGTGGGTTGTCATTGTGTTAATGCGTTTTGCTGTGAATAATGAGGGACATTTAGAGAGATTGTGTTGTGTTGAATTCAATTGATCTGGCTTGTATCTGGATAAATGTTGTGCACTATAGCTAGTGACTTCTACTCTAAATACAGCCAGATCTTATTTAAAAGACTGTTCTGTTTAAAGTCATTTTACAATGTTTCTTTACTCATGCTACAGAGTGAAATCTAGATGTTATAGAATTTCATATTTTGATATAAATGTAAATCAGTGGTTCTTTTGACCGAATTGATTAGTAGGATGCAGTTCCACGGTTTAACCAGCAGATGACGCACAATCATGTGTAGAAAGGAGCTGTTCAATGCATTAGTGCTGAAATATCACCAGAATTATTCTGTCTACCTCTTCAACCTTTTGATTTATTTTACAAAGCTAACTTAATGCACCTTTTTTTTTGTTGCAAAAACTAAATGCAGAAGAATGGTGTCTGCAGACATTCCTGCAGTATTTCAGGAACATACATTGCTATATGAAAAAGTATTTGAATATCTAATCAGTCTTAATGCATTGCACTAGACACAAAATATCAAACCAAATGTTCTTGGATACTTGAGCCTTAATTAATATTGTTTCAGTGTCACATTTATATTTTCAAGCCTGACTTACCTGTAAGTGTTCAAATATATTTGTCCACTGTCCCTGCACAAAAATGGGGGAATTACAATCCCTCAGTTTCTCTGGCACACGTCAAGCCGTATGTTAACGCTGCCTGTGTCTCTGTGTCAATGGCCTGCATGATAAGAGGTGACATGGGAGGACCAGCAGAGCTCAGTGGTCAGTGCTGGTCACTCGTCTAACGGCCATCAGGAGGAGACGCACATCACTGTTCAGACAGGTTTGACCTCTGACCTCTCTGATCTTGACCCTGTCTGCTCTTTCTGCCCTTCTTCTGAGCTCTGGCTTTAAGCTCTAAGTCTCTGGATGAATAAGTGCAGTGCATACAGTCA